TGATTTGACGGTAAAAAATTTAATGGACTGAATTTCCATTTGCGAATCGCCGCTGAAACGAAACAAAATTGAACCTTTTCTGAAAAGATTGATAACAGGCGATGAAAAGTGAATAACATAATAATGCAAAGCTCGGTTTGATGCAAAAGAAGGTGATGTGTGTCTGATGGGACTGGAAAGGAGTCGTCTATTATGAACTGCTGCCACCAGAACAAAACGGTTGATTCTGATGTATATTGTCAGCAATTAATGCGATTGAAGCAATCTATTCAAGAAAAGCGGTCAGAATTGATTAATAGAAAAGATATTGTTTTCCATCATGATAACACTAGTCCACACATGTCTTTGATGGCTCGAAAAAAATTGAGAGAATTTGGCTGGGAAATTTTGATGCATCCACCTTATAGCCCTGACCTTGCATCGTCCGATTACCATTTGTTTCAGTTTTTGCAAAATTTCCTTAATGGAGTAAAAGTAAACTTGACTTCAAAAGAGACCTGCGAAAATCGTTTATTTCAATTTTTTACCAAGAAACCAAAAATGTTCTACACCGATGGAATAATGGCTCTATCTGCCAAATGACAAAAAGTCATTGATCAAAACGACACATATTTGGTTTAATAAAGGGCTTATAAATAATTAAAAAAATATATATGTTTCAATTATGCTCCAATTTGTAAAAAAAACTTTTTCCCTAATCTAATAGATAATTTAAAATGATTTTTAAAGTCATCTGTTTTTTAATAAGCAACTAAAGTGACTTTCTGTTCCTCGAAGAGGCTTTGGCTTGATGATGGATCAATATAACATTCTGGCACCTTCATTGGAGAGATCAGAAAGTTATCCAGGGGAAGAAGAATCTGTTTTACCGATTAAACGCAATAATTTTTTCTTTTAGATATAAATTTTTTTTTCAAAATTAAAGTTAACATGTGTCTATGAGGTGGAGTTTATACCGAGAATGGAAAAAAACAATTTTTAATTGAGTATGTGGACGTATCTGCTTACTGAAAATATTTGTACACCTGACTACGTAGTTAAAGATGAGGAAAGAGATACCAATAAGAGCAACGATCAATGAGAGCGCCATAATTTTTGCCTCAGAAAAAATATTTTTTTTTAACAAGAATACTTAGAATCGCATAAAACACAAATGCGAAAATTTCTTTGCCTTCTTCTTAGAACTTATAATTAATATATTTATTTTAAAGAGCTAGGACAGAAATTTAAAACTGCAATCTGGATTTTATCACAATTTGTAGTATTAGCATTGACTAGTTTTCGATCTGCAGAATGGAATTCAATTTTTATTGTAAGAATTTATATTACACATTAAAATAACAATTCTTTTTTTAATACATATTAAAATACATTTCCCTTTTTTAAGAACTGTCAACAGGCAATTTGTACAAAAGCAATCAGCATTGTGTAAAAAATTATATATGATTAATAGCATGCTATATTATATTGCGTTGCATATCACATGAGATCTTCATAAATATAAGCATTCTTTAACTAGCGATGACTATAATTATAACTATAATTAGTTATAATTTTATATAACATAATTAAAATTGCAATAATTATTATTGATCATTAATTGATAATTGATAATTGATTCCAAATCGCTGCAAAAATTATTTATAAATTTATATAAAAATATGAATATTCCACAGAGACACAAATAAGTTTTACCGTAATATTAGATTAACCATTATAACGATTCATATGAATGGCATGTTTTTCAGTGTGATATGTCTTGGATATTTGGTTAAGCACAGGTGCAATTTCAGGGTCGTTAATCCATACATTTGCCGAAGCAGGTGTTTCTATCATTGACAAATATGCTGAAAGAAATAAAAAAAATGTAGGAAATGATTACAATTTATTATTATTTTTTTATTATTTCATTTTACCAAGTAACATCTTTGGTCTTGTAAGACTAAGCTGAATATGAGGATTACTCATAATTGCTTTATAAATTAGACCATCGAATTCGAGGCCTTCATCCAAATCTTGTAAACTACGTCTTCTTTCGCCCAGCAGCCATTCACACTATCACAAGAGATATAAAACTCGAGAGACATAAGAAAATAAAAATATAATTTAAATATACATCTTTAGTATAACCATTATAACTTACAGCATTAGCCTGATCATTCCCAGTAACTTTCAATGCCCCTATAACATTCTTGTCCTCAAAGCCCATTTCTACAAGCGATCGCATTGCTCTCTTATTAGGTTTAAATTCCATTCTCTTCCATTGTCGAAAACTTTGCAATAATAATTCTACGAGATATACCAGATCTTTTTCTCCTTGACCCTGTTTTTCTTTTAAAGTAAAGATATTTTTAAATAATCAGATGTTATCTTTTTTCATATATTTTATTGCTTTCAACTTGAATTATTTTCGAAATAATAACGCATATTTCAATTTTGTGTAAGAATTACCTTTGAACAGTTCCAAACATGCTTCTTTAAATGACTTTTTCTTAGTGTTCATTGAAGAACTAGGATTTCCAATATCTGTATCCGCAGGCAAGAAATCTATTTCATCATCTGAATCATCATCTGAATCATCCTGATGTTCTATAAGCCATTCTAAAGCTTCTGTCATATTCGATCTAAAACAGGCATACTCTTCTATAGTATTATTCGCGAATGTGTTACATACGTATATAATACAATAAAAACATTGATACTTGCTTTCGAAGACGTAACGCTTTGAGCACTTTCTTGTGAGGATAACCCATTTCTACAAGACTTTTTACGACTTTCTGATCATTAATGGGATTACACCTAGCTTGAAGTTTCTCCTTAATATCATCATATAATTTTTCAGCATAAGGACTGTACATCAAGATCTTTGCAGATGCTTGTACAAGGGTTATTAAAATCTTACGGATTTCATTCTGAAACTACAAGAAACAATAAAGATGTGAAATAGTATGATAAAAAGAGTATAAGCATGTAAAATATATATATTTACATCCGCAGGGCATTCTATAGATGGCACAGGTTTAGGTGGATTTCGTACACTAGGTAGATTACTTGTAGCTTGAGCTATTGCTTCTAAACTTGGACCTTTAAGATCTTCCTCCAATGAATCTTCTTGTGATCGTATTTCTACTAATAATAACTCATCTGTAAGAACAAATTATTGTGTTAAAAAAAAAAACATAAGTACACAATAAGTATGTACAAATTAAAAATTAATAAAAAAATAATTATATTATAAATCTATAAATAGCTTAATATAAATAATTATACCATATTCATTGATATCCTCGTCTCTTACATAAGTTTCATCCTTAAGCTGTACAAATTTGGTTGAATGAACTAAGCGATAGTTTGAGATAGATTTGGTTGTATCTTGACCATAAAAATGTACCACTGCTATTTTCTTAATATTTTCCACAGTAAAGTTTGGTTTTATTGCAACATCTAATACATTGCCTTCTATGCTGTATAAAAAGATTTGATGTTAATTAAACACCTGGCAAGATTTCTTGAAATTTCTACGATATCAAACATAAATTCAAACCTGATAACATTGATGGAAAAGTTTTCAGGTGAGGTAGGTAACGGTGTAAGCATAGTGTCATTGCTTGTAGCATTGCCTGTGCTGACAGAAGAAAGGGCCAAGGACCGCTTGTCAGCCGTCCTTGAACTTTTTCTGTTATGCCAGGCTTCTGCTATTTGATCACGCATCCATGGGATCATTAAATTTACCTGAAATATGCGAGGATAATTATTATTATACCACACTGTTATACAATGAAAATTTAGATGTTAATTCAATATATATTTTTTTCTAAAACAAATCTATAACTTAAGTACATATAAGTTGCATATAATACACTCAAATTTAATATCTTTTATCTCTACACAAAAACTCAATATCTAATTTTCATAGAAAATCAATGTGAGCAGATATAATCATATTTTCTTACTTTTATGAAGCCCCTTTCACATAAATAATTTTGATCTCAATTTAGTGTTGCATAAAGACCCTCGAGAAATCGACTGCGGAGATTATACAGAAAAATACAAATCATTTTTTCAACTAAACTGTCAAGCACGTTAGAGAATCGATAAATCAGCTAACATCTTCGCAAATACGTCAAAACATATTATTTTTACAAAAATGGCCTCTTTTACTCTGTAAGAATCGTAACTGTCATAACAACTGATAGCCACATTTCGCATCACACACTTTCTGTCTGCTAAAGTCTTAAAAATTCCAACTCCGATCGTAGATAATTTGGACAATTCGCAGCAATCGCTCGCACTTGCGACTATCAACGACTGCTGGCAGCTCTAATTTTTTTTTTACTTGGAGGACATTTAGTGGCGCCTCTATATGTACAAAGCATGCATGTTGAACTATGTAGCCATGATTATTTCCGATGGGTAACTTCTATGAATTGAGAAATTATAAATTATTTGGTCTTTTCCATTGTTTTTTTTTATTTTGCATTAAAACGCTATTAACTTTACGCTTTTTTATATTTTGTTTTTTTTTTAGGCTTAAAATATTCTATTATGGAATACATACAGAACCTAACAAAACAGTCGCGAAAGAAAATTAAAATATTTTAAGCCTAAAAGAAAAACGAAATGTAAAGAAAAAAACATAATTGAAGAGACCAAATAATGTTCCCTAATTTTATCGTTTTCTAGAACACTATCACTTTCATTGTAAGTTGGTAATTATTATATAATATGAGTTGAATTCTGGATTTTCGGGTAGAGAAACAGAAAGACAAATAACGTAGGAAAGCATCGGACATAAAGAGACTTCATGTTTCTTCGCTCTCTTTCCGTCGTGAATTTCCACGGATTTCCATGCCGCGAAAAACAGCACTTCGCAAACAGACTCCATGGGCTAAAGAGGGAGAAGGAGAAGGAGGAGGAGGAGGAAGACCGGCGCGTCGCCATGGCAACGGAACGTATGGAACGCACGGACTGATGTTTCGCGTTCCGCTGTTCCAGCCAGCAGCTGCGACTGTCAGCTGTTCAATATGGAACGATAGCAAAGTACAGTCACTTGTAGGAGTCGGCCGTCATCGGAACGACTTCAGCTAGAAGAGACATTCAAAACCGGAGCCGAGTCTACGGGAGCAATATCGACGGAGTGGTGCGAGCGTGTTCCTTTTTCGTACCAGCGCGCGCAGAAGCGGGCGCGAACGGGACCGTCATAAGCGGGGGTGTGAAACAGTGATAGGGGAGAGGTACTAAGTACGCGCTGCGCTGAGGGCGAGATAGAGAGAAAAGGAAAGTTTTTTCGTTAAGAACGTGTGTGTCGCGCGTGTACGGCCACGCACCGCGTGTCACCGAGATTTATGCGAGAGATCCCGCGCGAGATCAACCTGGATGTATTAACGCAAGGCTTAAGGTACAGCATATCAGGACTCATGAACCTCGCAACCAACCAGACGTCCGACACGACGTCCGATGCGCAGAGCAATGGTCCCTACTTTGTTAACTTCAATCAGGACTGCACGTAAGTACGAACGTCGCATATTCTGCTATCTAATCGCGGAATCGTCCCTCGGAATCTCTCCTCCACCTCCACCTCCTCTGTTACCCATCTCCTTTGTCTGATCCTAACCTCATTTTTCGATCGTCTTCCCGTCCTCGACGCGTGTCGTTCTTTTCTCTCATTCTCAATATATCTATATACACACATGTATACACACATATATATATATATATATAATTAAAAAATTATATGTATATATATGTGTATAGCGAATGTACGTCTCGCGCCAAGGTTTACGTGTCGCGCGACTTCGCGCTCCCATGTTTTTTCCTCGCGCGATGTTTTCGTTGCGTTATGCCTGCGTCATTCGCTGCTCCCCCTTTCACCGATTAATTGCGTGTTAACGAGAGAGAGAGAGAGACTCCAACCTTCGCGCGCGTTCTACCGCGCGTCGCGAAAGATTGGGAAGTGAGAGAAAGAGGAAAAAAAAGGAGACGGCGATATCGCACCTCCCGGCCAGTCGGTCGACCTGGCCTTTCCTCTCGCGCCGCCTTATCCAAGGACTTATCCTCGGCTCCTGCTCCTCGCGCGATTGCGTATCGTTCGCAACGACTCTGTGTTTATTTCTTTTTCTCTCTCTCTCTCTCTCTCTCTCTCGCTCTCTCGGTATACGATATTTGCCAGACAGTGATGGCAATAATATGGGAGATAGGCAAACAAAGGGTATATACTTATCGAAGAAACTTGATTTTATGTTTTGAATACTATCACGTCTTTCTAACTAAAAGAAAAGAAAGAGCCACTGAGAAAGATGTTACAGTTATACTCACAAGAAACAAACAAAATGAATTCTGATCATATAAATCAGAATTTTAATTATCGTGATTGAACTTCTAGCTATCTCGATTAGAATGTTTGATAGAGTTAACTGTATAAGTGATTTGTATGTTTCTGTATCTAGCTGAATTCTAATTAATGCAACAAGATGTTTTCTAGTGTAGGTTTGTAATAGCATATCCAAAATGGAGGCAAAAGATTTCTTAAAGACATCTTTGAGATGTCTTATGATGTGATGTTTAAAAGATATTTTAGGCTGATATTCATATTCTGTTCTTATTTCAAGATTATCTTAAATAATATGATTGGTTTGTGACATCTTATAAAACTTAAGGCAGTCATAAATATAAGAATCGATAATGAATATTGGCCTTAATAATATCATTAAGACGTCTTATATTTCAGTTTTGGACATGATGCTGTGTGGCTGCATTTTCAATAAAATTCTTTATTACCTTTTAGATCCTTGGCGGTGGGATCAAAGTCAGGATACAAACTTTATTCCATCAGCTCCGCAGGACATCTTGAGAAAATATATGAAAATGGTAATAATTAGTTTTTCTATATTCTATCAATAATTCTTGGAATTTAAAATAACTGCTACAATAATGATTAATAGAATGATAATAAATGATAAGCGAGATAAAAAATTTCTAAATGTCTTTTATGTCAAAGATATTTGTAGTTTTTATATCGCAATTAACACGTTGTCTGCCCAGCAATTTTTATATATCTTACATGTACGCAACGATAGAAATTTTCATTATCATAAACATATGATAATATATTGCATGATATAATTAAATAAGCTTATAGATAGTGGTAAATTGTGCACTGTTTACATTGCTTTATCTAATTATTTTTAATAATTCAAAAAATTTTATATTAAATAGTATTTATTTTTTACAAGCGCTAAAAAGTTAGACGTTGGTCATGAGTGATCATCTCATATCGACGTGTTAAACGAAACTAAACGATCAGTTCGAATAGAACCCTTTGATGTCATTAATTAGAATATTTCATTTTTTCGAGATGATGCAGACTTCGAGGATATATGCATCGTTGAAAGATTGTTCAGCAGTAGTTTGGTGGCGATCGTGAGTCTTAAATCGCCTCGTACGCTTACAGTGTGCCACTTTAGGAAAGGAACAGAGATATGCAATTACAGTTACTCGAATACAATTTTGGCTGTGAAACTCAACAGAGCGGTAAGTTATTCAAATTTATGTTTACATTCTTCTTCTCTTTTGCAATAATAGTACAGAACCTATTTCGAGCCTTGACCTCAAATGTGAAAGCATTGCAGTCTTATGTGAAACTTTGATTTTTTTTCACAATTTACAATCAATCATTTTTATGGAAAAGGGTAAATCCCTTTTTGCTTGTTATAAGCAACTACTAACACTGAGGTTTATTCATGGTTTGAACAGAGTTTGGATTGAATGTAAACCCCTGCTTATATTTAGATTTAGTCAATGGACATTGATTCCATATCCTTGAATCTTACAAATTTCAGTTTCCTCTTTATAAACAACAGTTTTTGTATAACGTGGTTGTCAGACACATACATAATTCCCAATTTGGAAGGTCAGAGAACTAGTTTATTGATTATAAATTTAAAATATATAGGATTAAACTTGAGACTCGCTAATTATGAGTTAGTTGTTCTCATACAAAACCTCGCAGCATTCCAATGTTCACATCCCAATTAATGAATTAACATTATAGATGCTTTTATGTATATAATTGTATAAATGAATACATATATACAATACAATTGTTATAATTTAAAAAAGTTATATCTTATGTGTTAGATATGTATTCATATGAACTAACTTACTTTTTAAATTCTGAATTTACATATCTTATGATAATTCTCACATATTTTAAATTGTAATTTATATGTTTTATTGTAAAATAAAGCTTTGATTATAATTTTATAATATGTTTAATGTTTTTCATAATCTTCAATACACTGAAGGCAGTGTCATTTATTTCAGAGATTGGTGGTGTGTTTGGAAGAATCACTATACATTCATAATATACGAGACATGAGAGTGTTACACACAATTCGCGACACTCCACCTAATCTTACAGGCCTTTGTACACTTTCGCCAAATAGCGACAATTGTTATGTAGCTTACCCAGGATCGAATACCATTGGGGAAGTTCAAATATTTGATGCGAATCATCTTGTATGTATTTTAAACAAATTTGAATAAATCAGTAAAATCTTTGGAGCATTAGAAATTAACATTTTAACAAGTTTACATTTTTCAATTGTATAGCAAGCAAAAACAATGATACCTGCACACGATAGTCCATTGGCAGCAATTGCTTTCAGCTCGACTGGCACCAAAGTAGCGACAGCCTCTGAAAAGGGCACTGTTATTAGAGTTTTTGACGTAAGTAGCTAGTAGATACAATAGTAGATACAATAGTGCCTATATTTTATTCATAACTGCTGCAATAACTGCATACAATTTCAACAATTGTTTATTTTTACAGGTTCACGAGGGTACAAAGTTATTCGAATTTCGACGCGGAGTTAAGAGATGCGTCACGATAAACAGTCTTTCTTTCAGTATGGACTCTATGTGGCTCTGTTGTTCTAGTAATACGGAAACTGTGCATATATTCAAACTGGAGGAACCAAAGGAAACGTATGCATCGCGTATTCACTGTTTTTTAATGAATATTTCATTAAAATGTAGAAACAAATGTGCCACTTGGGTTATAGGCCAAACAAACAAACTGCAGACGAAGCACAAAGCTGGATGGGATATTTAACGAAGGCTGTGACAGCGTCGGCTACGTATTTGCCGTCGCAAGTGACTGATGTTTTTACTCAAGGACGTGCTTTTGCTAGCGTCCACCTACCGTTTCAAGGTTTAAAAAATGTCTGTGCCATCACTGTGTGAGTATTCGAAAATTCGTTATCTTAAATTTACGTACACTGTACGTTAAACTTATTACTCGCGATACATTTTATTTATCTACATTTTAGAACACATAAAGTACCAAAATTGTTAGTAGCTAGTGCCGATGGTTACTTATACGTCTACTCCGTGGATCCGACAGAAAGTGGATGTTGCACGCTTATAAAACAACACAGGTTCGTAATATTATAATTTCAATGAGTTTTGTAAAATTGATAAACAATTGTTATTTTCGGATCGTCATTTTTAATCGTTATTCTTAAAATATTAATAGACTGTGATTAATAAAAATGAAGATGGAAATATGTCTTACTCATTTTTCACAGATTAGACGATAAAGAGCGAGATGAATCAGATTGTGGCGGTTCTGGTTCAGGAGCAGCAGCTACCACGAATAATACAAATACAGGTATGAAGAAAGAATTTTGGACTTTACATTTACAAGTTAGTTGAAGCGAGTTGACGATAAAGATACATTACCGACAGTTAATTTGAAAGTATATTCAATAAACTTTTGTGAAATTTTGTATTTATTCACTGTAATATGCTTGAGTGTGTATAGAGTTTCTTTTATCTATTCTTTTTTAAAGTAATTTTATGATTTTGAGATAAGTTTCGCAATTACTCGAGCACTAACAGAATAGATTAAGTATCTCCTTCTTTAAAGCACATATACACATACACGCACACACAGAATTGGTACTGGCAGATATTTGCATTATTTTATGCTATAACTATAATGAACTTATTGAAACATATTCATAATACAATTGATTAGTGAATTTCAATAAAAAGAAAAAAAGTGTCGTTTTTTTCGTTCAAGTTAATCTCGCTATCTTTCGTCCATAAAACTGAAGTAATGAAAGAAAAATTATCTGTCGATAGCAAATTCAATTAATTATTTTTATCATAAGAATCAATATAAGCTCATATTTTTGCTCAGACAAAAGCTATATTTCTTATAGAACTCGCTTGCTGTTTTATTGTATAGTAGACAAATCGCTACTTCCATGTATTTGTAGATAGATTCTGCTATGGTCAAGTAATTCATTAAATTTGATCTAGTATCAGCTCTAATAAAATGCTTATATCGTTGGCTATGTACCATGCCGTGTGGGTGTGTATGCGTGTATACCTCGCGCCGCGTATTTCAGACGCCTTTACTTTTATAATTTGCTTTATATCTTCTTTTTCTCGCTTCTAGCCCCCTCTTTATGAATAAAATAGCCAGATAATTTCTTCAGGGGCTCAGGGGAGGGGAGGGGGGCCCGATAGTTGACCTTACTTGATGTAATTTTTTTCTTTTTAATATCCACCGAAGCCTGCATAAATAGCTACGCGGGTGTGTTGCGTGGCCGCTCGCCAGACTCCATGTCAGGTACTGGTATGTCCTCTATTCTGTCCCTCGAATTTTTTTTTCGCTCTCATTCTCCGTACACAAAACACCTAATTCTCCTTTAGAGCTTTTCTCTCTTTGTGTATATGTGTGTGTGTGTGTGTGTGTGTGTGTGTGTGTGTGTGTGTGTGTGTGTGTGTGTGCGTGTGTGTGTGTGTGCGTGCCTCACTACTAGCGTTCACGCATTTTTATTCTATACGTACACGCAGCGAAAGGAAGAATGAGAGCAGTGCTGAATAACAATGTGCCTTTTCATGCGGCCTACATCCTCGTGTGTTAATATGAGCAATTTATATTATACCGTACTACAAACGGATAGATCACAAATTGATTACGCTTATTAACTGCAAAAACAAATTCTTAAGATGGGTATATGATTACACATGTGCAAAGGACATGCATGTAGATACTAGTCTATTATTCTCGGGATAAATCACTAAGCACGTATGCAAGTTGTTTTACTAGTCAGCAGATATAATAATATCTAGTATTATTGCATCCTGTTACAAAATATCACGAGAATTCCTATAAGCAGTAGTCTATTTTTAGAAGACTACCTCATAGATATCTTAATATTATAATATACTTAATATTATAATATTATAATATAATAATGTTAAAAATTGTAAATAATTACTAATATATCATTATTAAGGCTGTTAACACAAATAACTTATATGATATTAGTGTCATAATTATGTATGACGTTATATGATGGCAGAGTAGTAGTGACATATATTTTTTAAAACAACTTAACTTACTAATCATTATAAAAGTACATATATGACGTACTTCTGTTAACGATATTGTTCCTATACATTAAGTTCAGTTTATGTAATATATAATGAGCTATATAGAATCTAAGAAAATAGATAGCTCTTTTTATCTAATATTTTCTTCTTTTCTTATGGTCTTCATGTCATAAAATCGAATAATGAAAAACGGGC